TGTTGGGTGCTATTTCTTTTCTCTGTCAAGAGAACATCTTCAAGTATCGTTTGTAGGGCAGGTTTGGAAGAGGCAAATTCTTTTAACTTTACTGTGGAAGAATTTTATTTCATTTTCAAAGATAAAGGAAAGCTTTGCTGGGTACATTATCTTTGGCTGACAATTTTTTGCTTTTAGAATCTGGATTATGTCATTCCATTCTCTTCTTGACTGTAGAGTTTCCTGTGAGAGGTCAGTTGTAAGTTTAATCACCATTCCTCTATGTGTCACTTGATTTTTTTTCACATGCACATTTCAGGATCTTTTCCTTATGTTTGACTGAAGAGAGCTTGATGATCATGTGTCATGGTGAAGATCACTTTTGTTCAAACCTTTTGAAAAATCTGTGCCCCTCCTGTATTCCGGTTCCCAATTCTTTCTCCAGATTAGGGAAATTTTCCCTTATTATTTCGTTAAATATATCTGTAAAATCAGTTTCTCCTTCTGCACCTTCTGGGACTCCCATAACTTTTATATTGTCCTCCTAATCATGTCTTTCAATTCTTGAATACTTTTTTGGCCTGATCCAGCTCTGCTTCCAGCTTTTTGTTTGCTTCCCCCTGATAATAGGAAATATCTTCCAATTCTGAGATTCTTTCTTCTGCTTGCTTCATTCTGTTTTGGAGACTCTCCACTGTACTTTTTATTTGCTCTACTGTGTTCTTAATTTCTGATATATCATGCTTGATTTGCTTTATTGCTGTTATGTGTAAGATATTCCTTAAATTCTATGAACTCTTGTATGTGCTTCTCATTGTTGATCAGAAGCTTTGAAGTGAGTTTTCTGAATTCTCTGTCCCCCATTTTCTTGATATCTTCCTCAGTTAACTCTGAGGTTGGCATAGGGTTTTGTTCCTTTGTAGGGGCGTCTTGAGTAATATTCATTGTGCCTTTGTCTCTTCTTTTGCACTTGGTCATTGTACTTCTGGTTAGCAGTTTCTTCCCCTTGGGGCAGGTTTCTAAGCTGTGTCACCCACAGGTCTACAGTTCAGTTTTACTTATTGCAGTTGGTACACAGGTCTTTGCTTGCAGCCAGTTGTGCCACTTCCTCCAGCGAGTTCCAGGTCTGGGTTCTTATATTAGATTTCCACCATGGTCTCTGTAGCCCCAAATCATGGCTCACCACTCTCCACCTCTTGTGAGACCATGCTGAGTTTGCACTATTGTTTGTACAACCCTTCTCTCACTTCCATTTGGAGCTTGTCCCAGGATTAGGGAGATACCAGGTGTCCTATTTAGTTAGGTTGTTGGTGGTGCTGAGCTTGCTGGAACCTATTGGTTGTTAGGTCTGGTGCCACATGGATCTATTTTGACCCATACGATGCCTTAGTCGATACTATTTTCCCTGTTGGACCAGTGTAATCCACTGAACTCAGTGAGTTTTCACGAGCTCAGCACATGCTCAGTTCACTGTTCTCCCCTGCAGTCCTAAAACTTTTGCCACACTGTACAAAATGGTGCCTGATGTGCCACTACTAGAGTTCTTGATCTGTTGGCCATCAGGTCTGTGATAGGTAGAACCTATCTTGGGTAGAACCTATAGAATGCCATGTTGCTGCAGTTCACTGAGTCAGAAAATGAGTTCCCTTCCAGCTTAGTTTATGCTCAGTCCTTTCCCTTGCCTTTGCCTCCTTAGGCAGAATGGTGCCCAGTTCGGCTCTAGGGGGTTGACTGGGCTGTGAAATCCACCCTGTTCTCGCACTGCCTATCTGGGACCTGCTGTTCTCTCTGCCTCTGCTCCTAGTCAGATCAAACATTCCAGCAGGATGGACAGTTTTTTGTCCGGGTTCACCTCTCACCTCTCAAGCTCCCAGTGAAAGTTCTTTCCCACCTGGTTGCTGGTAGAATTCCGGCTGCTGGTGGAGTTCAGATGGCCGTTAGCTGAATGCACTGGAGAATCAGTCAGTGCAACACCACACCATTGTTTTTGCTGCTTCCTGTGTCTGACAGTCTCCAGGAACTCCTCTGCTGCTGTTCTGTCCTCTCCTGTTTCCTGGAATGTGCCCTCTCTGCTTCATCTTGATTAAATGTTTCTCCGTCCATTTAAACTTGCTCTTACCCTATTTTGCCATCTTGATTCTCGGCTGACTAAATTTAATAAAGAGGGCCAGGTTTCTCTCCTCCAGTGCTTCAACACACACACGCGCACACACACACACACACACACACACACACACACACACACGTACCTTTCCTTTGCCAGGTTCTAGATCATGAATAAAAATGATGGCTAAAAGGTTACATCTTCTTTCAGATGTTTGTCAGAATTCTGAATTACTTGTTTAGAAATAACCAGTAGTTAGCTCTTGTTGTCCAGTAGAACCACCAGGGAAGGATTAAATGAGAAAAAAAAAATGGATTTGAGTGTAATAGGAGTCATATGATTGGGTGTAGGTGTCAATATTCCCAAAGCTCTGCAGGGTGCTCTGGTGTGCAGCCGAAGTCAAGAATCAGTCAACTGTTTTTGAAATGTCAGGAAAATAGAATTAGAAAGATAGAGATAGAATTAGAAAGGGTGGGATCATTTATACCTGCAGTTTCTAAATTGATTATTCAGTGTATACTTGCTATGTTTTATTTATGAGTCATCTTTTTGTAAGATGAAAATTCCCTTCATTTCCTTTCTATGCCACTACATCTCTGCCACTGAAGAATTGAATTTTTCTGTGGTCGGATTTAGGATGACACTGTGAAAACTGAATTAAGAGATCACCCACTTAATTATTCATTTTTTAAGAACTTTAAAACTATTTTGGTTGTGGTTTTAAAGTACTGACAAATAGGGCCCTGCATGGTAGCCTAGCAGCAAAAGTACTTGCATGCACCAGGATCCCATATGAATGTTGGTTCGTATCCTGGTGACCCCACTTACCATCCAGCTCCCTTTCTTGTGGCCTAGGAATACAGCCAAGGATGGCCCAAAGTCTTAGGACGCTGCACCCATGTGGGAGACCTGGAAGAAGCTCTGGGCTCCTGGCTTTGGATTGGCTCAGCTATGGCTGTTGCGACCACTTGGATAGTGAATCAGCAGACGGAAGATCTTCCTCTCTGTCTCTCCTCCTGCCTATATATCTGACTTTCCAATAAAAACAAAATAAAAATCTTAAAACAAAATACTGTCAGGGCCCAACGCGATGGCCCAATGGCTAAAGTCTTCACTTTGCATGCCCAAGGTCTCATATGGCTGCTAGTTTTAGTCCTGGCAGCTCCAATTCCCATCCAGCTCCCTGCTTGTGGCCTGGGAAGGCAGTGGAGGATGGCCCAAGGCCTTGGGACCCTGCACCCACGTGGGAGACCTGGAGGAATTTCCTGGTTACTGGCTCCAGATCAGCAAAGTACCGGCCATTGCGGTCACTTGGGGAGTGAATCATTAGTCAAAAGGTCTCCCTCTCTGTCCCTCCTCCCCTCTGTATCTCTGATGTTGTAATAAAAAACAAATAAATCTTTAAAAAGTTACTGACAAATATACTTGTACATTTTGGTTAATATCCAAAATGTTGTAAAATAACACTTTTTTAATACATTATTTCCTTTATGAGTCTGATTCTCTCTTAAGCCTATTTAAAATAAGTTTTTCTGAGTCAAAAAAGAATTAAGTAGTATAATGCTCATTTCGTAGTATCTCTGGTAGGTGTGAGACAGCACCCTCTTGTCAAATATGTTGACAATTCTGCAGGACTGTTCAAAGATTTATGACAGCTTCAGCCATGTTTTCCTGCCACGCAGGATGGCTTTTGCGCAGGGCTGGCCTCCACTTTCATTTAAGTGATGTTGTCAGACAGTTCCTGCATGAGATCGCTGAAAGAAGTTTGTGAATAATACTAAACCTGCAGCGAGAGCTACCCTATCAGTGTCAGAAGGTGACAGGTCAGGATAGGCCTCGTCACTTAAAACTGTTCTGTCTGGATAAAAACTTAGACGTTTCAGGCACAGAAAACCAGTATGTGTAAGAGTGGGCCAGTGTCCATGAGGAAAAGTGGGGAGCCCATCCAGGTGTGCCTTTCCATCCTTCCTAACTTACAGTCACCCAACCTCTGAAAGGACAGGTGCAAATGGGTGGAACAAGTCAGAAACCCCGAGAGCAGCTCTCCCAGCTCCCGCGGCAAAGCGATCTGTTACACAGTGTGTGTACACGTCATCTAGTCTGATTCCACACCTCTTGCTGTAAAATTCTTCAGTTGTTTTTGTTGCACCAAGTTTCTCACAAACAGCTTGTCATTGTTGAACGTCATTGTAATTGTAGCTAACCAACATGTTTCAGGATTGAGGGTTGTTTAAGATATTCAAAAAGAGATTGTCGTTTTATATGCTAATCTTAGATCTTCATGCTGGAATATCAGAAGTATCATAATTCCATAGTTTACTTTCAGTGGTTCCAAAGAGTAATAAGAACAGAAGCTGAAAAATAGTAGCAGTTCTTAAACCTTGGTCAAGATTACTAGTTTTATTGTTCTGTTTCTTATGGGGTTTTTTTACATTATTTTTTCTATATAAAAAGTTGAAAGAAAAAAGTTCTTCATGATGATATTCACTTGGCAAAGTTCAATTTGATTGATACATAATTATAAAGGTTAACTATTTTCTAAAATACTTAATTCCTATACTTATTTATCTATATTAAGTTTAAAATTGAGTATTCTGATGTATAATTTATGTTCACACATTACCTAATAGAACATATTTGAATGAATATTAAATAACTCTGAAAGTAAATTGTTCTTTCTTAATGTCTAATTAGTTATACCTCAGTTTGGTGGAGAGTGTATATTTCTGCAAATATTTTATCATAAAACTAATTGAACCTAATTGAAGAACATCATATTGCTAAGTCTCAGAAACCTTTGGTAACTGTGGGCTCGTGCTGAAGATTTCTGAGATGACTAATTTGTAATAAAAATAATTTAAATACCGGTAAATTACATTTCCTTTTTTAAATGATAACTATATTTATTTCTTCCTAGATCTCCCTCAGAACTGTGATCCTAACATTCCCCTAGTTGCTCAGGAATTAATGAAAAAGATGATACGTCAGTTTGCAATTGAGTACATTTCAAAAAGTGGTAAAATTCAAGAGAATAGAAATGGTTCAATTGGACCAAGTGTCGTATGTAAAAGTATCCACATCAATCAAGCAGAGAACTCCCTTCAGGAAGAACAGGAAGGCCCCTTAGACCTCACTGTGAATCGAATGCAGGAACAAAATACTCAGCAAGGTAAGTGGGTTCTTGTTTTTTTGGTATGTATAATATGTAATTGTATGTTTTCTTATCAGAGATGTATGTACAGATTTATATTTTTAGGCAGATTTATTTGAGATACAGCAGCACTTTTAATGTATTTATATAATATGAACTGGGGAGATTATGATGAGGAAGAGAATCACCATGAGAATGATGAAAGCTATAATGGACTTGCCTAATAGATTATTCATTTTAATTGAAGAGGAACCATCAATTCACATAGAAAAGGCAGAAACTTTTTAAACTTGATGATGCCAAATACATGCTTGTCTAGAAAGGAGAGAATAAGTGGGGTTTCTTAGGAGTTAGGAATGGTATTGTCAGTCTTCAAAACCAGCTTGAAGACAACTTAGTTTGATCCCTAAGGATTGTGTTTAGAATTTTTAAAGGGAGTGTACTAGTCAGTGTGTAAAGAAAATAATGATATGTGTGTAAGACAGACTAAAATTGAGACGGACGAAATGAAGGGAGAGTTCTTGTTTTTGTTACCTAATTTTGGGCTCCATGAGTTTATATGAAACTGTTAAGATAGTTCTGTTACAAGCCAAAACTGTGTCTAATACTACAATATAAGACTTAAGGGGAAAATTTATTAGTATGTAGAATTCTGAGAATGAGAAAGTGTGCTTTCAGGAAAAAAATTTTGTCTGCTTTTTCATGGTTGTGTCCTGCATTTATGTCTTCATTGGGACAGTCACTTTAGAATATGGAGGAGACTCTCACACCGACTGATATGTGACAGACTTGTAGTTGAAATTCTACTGCTTAAGTTCAGTTTACCTTTCCGAGCCGTAATTCCCTCAGTTGCTGTTTGACCATAATGATGATAATGAACTTTCTGGAAGCACATAACAACAGTGCGGCTGGTGTTTAGTACTGAAGGTTGAACTGTGCTTGGGCCACCTGCATCCTGTATTGGGGTACCTGTTCAAGTCCTGCATCCTCCTCTTCCAGTCCAGCTTTTTCTGCTAATGCATCCTGGGAGGCAAACATGATTGCTCAAGAGGTTGGCCTCCTGCTCCCCACTTGAAAGTCTCTGATAGAGTACAAATTCTTGGCTTTGGCTTGGCCCCTCCCCCGCCATTGTGGACATTTGAGGAGTGAACCAGCAGATGGAAAAGCTGTCTTTTTTCTGTCTCTGTCTTTCTATGGCATTGTGCCTTTCAAGCAAAATAAATACATAGACATTTAAAAATACATGTAAAGGACCCGGTGGCGTGGCCTAGCGGCTAAAAGTCCTCGCCTTGAACGAGCCAGGATCCCATATGGGCGCCGGTTTTAATCCCGGCAGCTCCACTTCCCATCCAGCTCCCTGCTTATGACCTGGGAAAGCAGTCGAGGACGGCCCAATGCCTTGGTTCCCTGCACCCATGCGGGAAATCTGAAAGAGGTTCCCAGTTCGGATCGGCACAGTACCGGCCATTGCACTCACTTGGGGAGTGAATCATTGGATGGAAGATCTTCCTCTCTGTCTCTCCTCCTCTCTGTATATCTGACTTTGTAATGAAAATGAAATAAATCTTTAAAAAAAATACACGTAAAGCGGCAGATGCATAAAATGTAGATACTCAAACTAACCTGTTCACATTTTCCATCTTTTCTTCCTTACCACCACAGAAGAGAAGACTTAAAAATAATTTGGTAGTGAGTTATGAATATTTGTATAGTATTAAACTGAAGTAGAACTGGGCTGTCTCTGAGTAAGTCAATGAGAGAATTGGGATCCCTAATTAGAAGTAACAGAAAAACAGATTTCAGATCTGTATAAGAAAGGATATTTCTAAGGGTCAGACATTTCTTAAAAGGGCAGTGGGAAAGAATTCCCTGATCACCTCCTCATTGGAGATATTTAAAAGGATTAGAATAGATGATATTTTTTTAAAGATTTTTTGAAAGAATTACAAAGAGAGAAGATAAAAAAAGAGATGTGCCAACTTCTGGTTCGTTCCCCAAATTTGCAATGGCCAGGACTGAGTGAGGCCAAAGCCAGGAGTCAGGAGTTCCATCCAGGTCATTTCCCACGTTGGTATCAGGGGTGCAAGTGCTGCATCCATCTTCCACTGCTTTCCCAGTAGTACTGGCAGGGAGCTGGATTGGAAGTGGAGCAGCCATGACTCAAACCAGCACCCTTTGGGGTGCTGGCATTGCAGATGACAGCATAACTTGCTATGTCACAAGATCATCCCCAGAATAGATAATGTCTTAAAAATAAGTATACAATTTCTAGATAATGTATTTCTGTGAGCCTAACTGCTAAGATAGAAACACAGTTGTATAGAAAAACAGTAATGCAAAACATTCAAATGATTATAATCTACGGTACATAAATATGTGAGCATCCTTGGGTTGGGAAGAATATAAATCTATTACTTTTTTTATAATTTTAACTTTGGATGATGTTTTGTCAGATTATTTCAGTATTCTTCAGGTAAGAATTACTTAAAATGGGTCATAGTATAGAAAGCAAGAGGGGGAGAATGGTCACAAAGCTAAATAAAGAAATAAATGTGGAAACCATAAAATATTATGTATTTTTAATTCTCTTTGGGCTTTAGAAATTTGCTAGACTGTTTTGAGCCATGTGTTCAACAATCAGACTTCTGTTACAAACCATTCTGTTGAGGTATGAATTGGTAATTCCTCAGATGTCCTACTTAAGTACCAAATCACCAAAAATAATGGGACACACCCACCTTGCATTTGTGTGTGTGAGCATGGATGTATGTGTGTTTCTTTCTGTACCCACAAATGTTTATACTTATTAATCCTTCTAGAAATTAACATTTTTAAGGTTGGAGTAAACATGTCAAACAATTTTTATTTGTCCTACTAATCATGATGTCAATATCATATAATATAAAACATCTTTTGGGAGATTTTCATTAGTAATGATATAGGAAGATTTTAAGGAAATTTGGCATGATTTTGCTGTTACAAGAATAGTAGCTGTTTGTTGTTTTACTTATTATTCTCAAATATGTCTTAGTGCTTAAGCTAGGTGTTCATTTTAGGAATTACTTTATTCAAGTTAAATAATTCGTAATGTGAATATGTCTTGTTCCATTTTGTGCTGCCATAATAGAAGCCATGACAATGGATACTTTTTATAAAAAACAGATGTTATTTCTTAGAATTTTAGAAGCCAGGAAGTACAGGGCTGAAAGGCGTGCATCTGGTGAGGGCGCATTCATTACCATCTCTTAAAGATCCTGCCCCTCAGCATTGTCGAACTTAAGGTTAGGGTTCCAGCACGTTCCAACCCAGGAAACCATAAAAAGCTAAGCATAACTAAGGAGTGTCTAACCCCAGTATTTATGAAATTCTGAATTCAAAATTGTTTTCCACATAACCCTCCGTAACTTTAAGGCAACAAATAATTCTTATATAGACTAACTCAATGAATAGAGAAGAGAGAAATCTTAGTATAATCTAGATAACCAAAAGCAGACAAAGCTAGCAAAAGAATGAAACATTGCAAGTTAGAAATCTGCATGTGGTAATCCTGAATGACTTTCAGCAAGCTGAATACAGTCAACTTTAAAAACATAATAATTACTAGAGAAACATGAGTGATTATAATTTTAAAAATATATTTTTATGAATTTTTGTGTTTAAAAAAAAAAAGACTGTCATCCTTACAGATAATAGAAGTAAGCTGTGTCATCCATTTTAAACTGTTAATGAGAGTTCTTTACTCAACCACCCAGTTAGAAAATCAAATCATATAACAGCGGTAAACACTTCTAGGAATGTATCCAAAACACCCATTACACGAGAAACCAACATGCACCCCTAGGTTCATAGCAGCACAATCAATAATTGCAAAAACTTGGAAGCAACTGAAATGCCCATCAACAGAAGACTGGATCAGAAAGCTGCGGTTCATCTACTCCATGGAATACTACTCAGCTATTAAAAAAAAAAATGAAATGCAGTTCTTTGTGACCAAATGGGCCCAACTGGAAGCCATTATGCTAAGGGAAATGAGCCAATCCCAAAAGGTTAGATACCATATGTTTGCCTTACTGAGATGAAATGATGTCAGTCTGAAAAATAGCACCTGTGAATTGTAGTATTATTTCAACCTCAAACACTGTATCACATGCAATAAGATTTGTGATGTAACCAGTGAACCAGCAAACAATGTGAGTCAGACTGCTTATGACCTGCACCAAAGAATTGTAAAACCTAATTATATATATGTATGTATGTATAACTTACATTAGCAAGAATAGCAAGAAAAACATGAAAGCTCATAGCATTGAAACTCATGAACTGAATAAGACCTAGGAAACACATTATGAAACTTTAATAAATGTGTCAGTGTGGTGATTCAGGAGGGTAAGTGTCTGCCTGCGGCACCAGCATCCCGTATAAGCATCAGTTCTGGTCCTGGCTGCTCCACTTCTGAGGCAGCTCCCTACGTATGTCCTGGGAAAGCAGTGGAGGTGGTCCCGAGTGCTTGAGCCTCTGCATCCTGGCACTGGGTCAACTCAACTCTGGCTATTGCAGCCATTTAGGGAGTGAGCTAGCAGATGAAAGACTTTGAGTCTCTCATTCTCCCTCTGTAAAGGCTGCGTTTCAAATAAAACAAGTAAATATTTTTAAAAGAAAAACTTTGATGAAAGTCATAGAAGGCTCCCAAACTGAATGATTACACTAAATGAAAGGGAAGACTGGAAGATGAAATTTTATATTCTTCTCTGTTCATTGCAATTCCAGTCAAACTTCTGTTACAGTTTACTTAAATATGATATGATGACCTTAAAATTTTCAAGCAAGAGACTTACAGAGCCAGGAAAAACTAAGTCTAGTTATAGGAGAGACTTGCAGTAAATCATAGCATATTCAGAGCTAGTAAGTGCAATAATTACAAGAGCTGTTTACCAGTATACAAGTCAGTGGATCAACGGAGGGCGTGCAGAAATTCCCCCAAAGGTAGTTTTGGTAGAAGACACATACTAATTTAAATA